TGATTTTTGTGTGGTAAAGTCGACGCGTAAGCTGACTAACGCTTAAAGCAAGCCAAAATCGCGCAAGTTCTTATAAAAATATCATTTAGCTCCGATTTTTTAGCTTGCCTTAAGGTTAAACCTGAAGTAACAATTTAATTGATTCAGATAGACTGGTTAGAAATATGTGAGGATATATCTATTATCAACTTAAAGTGACTTGGAGTCCATATAGGGACAAAACAATCGTAATAGCTGCATAATTTCTCATTTTGGGCTTAAATTCAGGAAGCATTTAAATTTATATTCTCGATTGAGTGACTACTGAATAAGAACGACTGTGTGATAAGCATTTTACTAACGCAACCAAACAATCAGTATACTTTATTACGACTTCATTGACCAAGAGTGATATGAATGTAATGTGGCAGTCAGAAATATAATAAGAAATATATAATATCAACGGATTAACTAATAAGAAAGGAATTTTGTGAAGGAACAATTTATGGTGCCAGATTGTGGTGAGGTATTGGGCTAACGCTGACCGTAATACCACAAGAATAAACTAGCTCATTTAGTGGCATACATTTTTTGTGTCGGAAGTAACGAGTATGCAATGCGTTACGTTGGGGACACTTGATATGGAAGTGAGATGTTCCATGATATTTCGCTTGTGTAACCAGTTGAAATTTTTCCGAGTTGATTTAGTGCATGAAATAGCTATTTTTAACAAAGATGGCAATTTATGTGAAGAACGTCGTAGGACTTCTTTTATAGATGGTATAAAGCTATTGTTATATGAAAGCAATGTCAAGAATAAGTTCCAGCTCTGATGATATCTGTCATATGACGAAAGAAATCCTAGACCTTTTTGCCTATAATAACAGCTACCTTTTTAAAATATAGCACTTTTAATAAAAATTAATAAAATTAATAGAAATTGTAAATTTTATACTTGTTTCTGTCTTTGGCCGCAAAAGACCCCTTTGTTTTATCATCCTCGCTACCTTTCGTCATCCTTTCTATCTTCTTCTCCTCCATCATGGTGAAGATCTTTGTCGGCAACCTTAATCCCAGTTCAAAGTCTGCAGAGTTGAGGAAGAAGTTTGAGAAGTTCGGAAAGGTCACCGAATGCGATATCGTTAATAATTATGCCTTTGTAGTAAGTCTACTTCACTAGTTATCCTCCACAGCTCTGCCTCGCTTTAACCTGATTTCCTTTTTTAAGCATATGGAAAACGAATCTGATGCCAAAGCAGCCATTTCTTCCCTTCATAACTCCGATTTTGATGGGTCAAAAATAAATGTAGAACACAGTCATGGTAAGCGCGGTGGTGCTGGCTCCGGCGGCGGCCCTATGCGTCGGCGCTTCGAGCAGGGCCGTGGACCTAGAGATTATCCCCCTGAGAGGTTCAGAGGACCCCCTCGAAATTACATGAGTGGACCCCCTCCACCAAGTTCAAGGAGCGAACGTTATGGTCAGCCGGGATGGGATGGTTATGCTTCTGCCTCGTACCCACCCATGAGACCCGCTGATAGAGGTATGTCCATTCCGTAATTATGACCTTTCTCTACCTGACCTAATCATATTCTTATTTAATTTAGGAGGTTATGATTACCCTCCTAGCGGTCCTGGGAGCAGATATCCACCTGATCCGGTCCGGCCTCGTGAGGGTCGGGCTCCAATGATGCCCGAGTCTGGCTATCGTAGTGCACCATCCCGAGAGCAGATGCCTCCACCAACCCGGGACTATCCTCCCAAGGAGAGTCGCCGCTATGATTCTTACGATGGATACAGCGCGGACAGCTACGATCGTTACCGAGACTCCGCCCCGGCTCCTCCAAGTCATCCTCGACAAGATTATTACGAGAACTATGGCAGCTATTCTAGCGGAGGGACGGCTGCTGCTGGAAACTACGACTATCCGTACGTCCTCTCTTCCTATCATTTAGCTCGACAGACTTCGCTTTACACTGGGTCCGCGTATCATAAGTTGTGAAACGTCAATCCATTGCGTGTTTCTGTTTTAGTGATTACCGAGATTCAAGGTCGGTCAGTGGTGCTCCGTCATCTGGTTCTTACAATGGTGGCTACGATTATGGCAGCTATTATGATTACGGTCGGGAAGGTCGTTCGACTGCTCCTCCACAGCCTAGTCGCTCGGGCTACTCATACGGCCGTCCTTAACCGTAAGACGCCTTGTTTTTCCCAGATCAAGATCCTAAAATGGTAACGTTTCGTTTTTAAATGTGGTCGCGATGCGGACTTAAAAGGCATGGGTCGTAAAGGGTCATCTAGTTCGTCTACTGGCTGTTTCTCATTGCCTCCTATTCTCCTCGAGAACTCGCATTTATTATCTAGCTACCAAGATTGTAGCATCGTGTTTTTATTTAATAATTTTTCTTGGATTTAACTTCGTTACCAAAAGCTTATCGTGCCTTTTAGACTCGACACTTACCGGTGATGAGAACGGCCTCTTTGCAACGGCGTCTATACAATCCCAACTGCCGATATCGAAGCAATCATTCTTCAATTGCTTTCAGGTCCTACTAGCTCATTCTTTGCGTTTCCGTTCCTTGCTACCTGCCCTCTCGCCCTAGCAACTCGTCGTGAATCTCCGCCCTGCGTAAATGCCGATGCGTTAGCTTTCGCAGCCGTTTTCGGTTCCGTGATAACGCCATCGTTTTTAATTCTTTGGATCGATTTTAAGTACGTTTTGCAGTCACCCGCATTCAGCCGTTTTTAAGCATCAATGTGTTCATTTTGGTAAATAAACTCCTTCATTGTACTCACGCCTTCTTGCTGATTTAATGTTTCGGCCATACGGTAGAGGATCGCTCAGGTAAGAAACTCCGGTTGATGTTGCGGCGCCGTTCCTCATTTTAGCTTCGTCCTATCACATCGTTTCAATGTCATCAGACTTGCCGTACTGGGCTCTTATGGACAGTTCGTCTTCTGTCCTGACTCCCCATGTTAGTTGAAACTCAATTTGTCCGTCGAGCTTATGACAGCTGGACTGAGTCATCTGATTTTCGACCTCAAATATCAGGTCTGCTGGTCCGCATTGCTTTCGCCATCGC